TCAAATCTGAAGCACTCCCAGAACGACGTCATTTTAGTAATTTTCCAGTTTGAGCTGTGGGAATGCTGAAAATGGCGAACTCGTTCCCAGAGGAGGTGCTAGAACACGTGTTCTCGTTCATACAGTCGGACTCGGACCGGAACTCGATCTCGATGGTGTGCAAGTCGTGGTACGAGATCGAGCGATGGTGCAGGAGGAGAATATTCATCGGGAACTGCTACGCCGTGAGCCCTAGGATGATGATCAGACGGTTCCCAGACATTAGATCCATCGAGCTCAAAGGGAAGCCTCACTTCGCCGACTTTAATCTGGTCCCTGAAGGCTGGGGTGGCTATGTCCACCCCTGGATCGCCGCCATGGCTGATGCCTACCCTTGGCTTGAGGAGATCAAGCTCAAGAGGATGGTTGTCACCGACGAGACCCTGGAGCTGATTGCCAAGTCTTTCAAGAATTTCAAGCTCCTTGTGCTTTCATCTTGCGAGGGCTTCAGCACTGATGGCCTTGCCGCCATTGCTGCCAATTGCAGGTTTCTCTCTCTCTTTCTGTGCATTTGCTTTGCACTGTGTTTGTTTTGGTTTGGTTGTGATATGGGTGCTTCAGCTTTGCTTGTTCTGTTTTACTCTAGCAGTCAATTTTGGGTTCGATTTATTTGTTTGTTTTGTTTTGGAACTCTTTGGGGGTTCTTTTTGGTTGCTAGGAAGAAGTAAGAGAAAGAAAAGCATTAAAGTTTGGATCTTTCGGTTTGTTTTAGGGAAATTAGTGAACTTTCTTCACCCGGATTTTACTGCTTGAGCACTTAAGCTGGGGTTGCTTGAGTTTAAGTTTCCATTTTTGGCCAGGCCTCAAATAGTAAAATACACACGATTTAAAAATCTTACAACTTCTTGGCTTTTTCCTACATTTCAACCAAGACTTTGTATTTAAGATATTTGTTCTGTGTTCTACTTGTTGGTTGTTGTGGTGTTAAGTGGTTAATATGAGTGAATTTGTAAAGACATCTGATTTGGTTTGTTTTCCGCTGCACATTGTTGCCTTTGATGGCAGCGTGCAGGAGTTACCGTACATTTTTGTTTGTCTCGCATAGCTATCTTAGATATTTTCCCATTTTTGGGTTATCCCAGTTCATTACCATACTTAGTTCTGTATATATATATATATATTAAAATTATTGGTGATTGGAAACGAATGGAGCTCCTGCTACTTGTTCTGGCTTCCTTGTTTTCTGCTTTTATTTCTTATAGATCTGACTGGGACATCTTGTTGTGTGAACGGTTAATGTTCAAATTGTAGTTAAGAGCACTTGGGTTTCTCTTTTTTTTAGGCTACTTTGCTTGTTATGGACTATTGTAATGTGAGGTTCTTTTCAAATTTTGTATTCTAACTCTTCGGACGGTGTGGATGTGTTTTGGTTCTCTCCACTAGATTCTCTTCTACTTTGCTACTCAAAGATTCTCTTGATCTGATTTCTTGTTTTTTAGCTTTTGCTTTTGGGAGAAATGTTGTTTTCACTTGAGAATGCTGGAATTGGAAAGAAATGTGAGCTTTTGTGTGATGATGGTTCAGTGAGAACATCAAACTAGTGAAAAATACATGACTTACTTTTCTTGTGAACTTAGGTCTGTAGAAAAGTTGAACCAATATAATAGTCTAGTCACTGTCGGTTACTGATGGTGATGAGCTGGTAATTTTAATCAGGAATCTAATTTTCATGGTTTTGTTTTGTTTTATCCCATTGCTTTATTTAGTAAAACTCTTCTTTTTTTCCTCAGATTGTGAAATGTCTATACGTTGTCTTTATCAATGCACCCTTTCACCTTGTTGATGCAGGAATCTGCGGGAGCTGGACTTGCATGAGAGCGATGTGGAGGACCTGAGTGGGCATTGGCTCAGCCATTTTCCTGATACGTACACATCACTTGTTTCCCTTAACGTTGCCTGCTTAGGGTCTGAGTTTAGTTCATCTTCTCTGGAGCGCCTGGTGGGTAGGTGTCCCAATCTGAAGAGTCTCCGGCTCAATCGCGCTGTGCCTCTCGACAGGCTAGCCAATCTACTTCACCGGGCACCTCAGCTGGTTGAGTTAGGCACAGGGGCCTATTCGGCTGAGTTGCGGCCTGATCTCTTCTCAAACCTAGCAGGTTTGCTCTCGGGATGCAAGGAACTCAAGAGCCTATCTGGGTTTTGGGATGTGGTCCCAGCATATCTTCCAGCTATTTATTCTATCTGCCCTGGGCTGACATCACTAAATTTGAGTTATGCCACTATTCCAAGCCCCGATCTTATAAAGCTTGTTAGCCAATGTCCAAATCTGCAGCGGCTTTGGGTATGTCCCATCTTATTTGATGTTTTCAACCTCATATGCCTTTAATTCAATTTTAATCCTCCTTAGGTCCAAGGATCAGATGCTTACAGATGCAAATAAGTTCCAATTGGTAATTCCATTTTGTAGCTAATTAAGGATATGACTGCAGGTATTGGATTACATTGAAGATGTTGGCCTTGATGCCCTGGCAGTGTCTTGCAAAGATCTACGAGAATTAAGGGTGTTTCCATCAGATCCGTTTGTAGTGGAACCAAATGTGTCGTTGACAGAGCAGGGCCTCATATCTGTTTCTGAGGGCTGTCCAAAGCTCCAGTCAGTTCTGTACTTCTGCCGGCAAATGTCTAATGATGCACTAATCACCATTGCAAGGAATCAACCTAACTTTACATGTTTTCGTCTTTGTATAATTGAGCCCCGAACTCCGGACTACCTTACCCTTGAGCCACTTGATGTGGGTTTTGGGGCCATTGTTGAGCACTGCAAGGATCTCCGGCGGTTGTCTGTCTCCGGTCTACTAACTGATCGTGCGTTTGAGTATATTGGAACACATGGAAAAAAGTTGGAGATGCTTTCTCTAGCCTTTGCTGGAGATAGTGACTTGGGGCTTCATCATGTATTGTCTGGGTGTGAGAATCTACGGAAACTGGAGATTAGGGACTGTCCTTTTGGTGATAAGGCTCTTTTGGCCAATGCTGCAAAGCTGGAGACAATGCGATCCCTTTGGATGTCTTCTTGCTCAGTGAGTTATGGAGCATGTAAGCTGCTAGGTCAGAAGTTGCCGAGGCTTAATGTTGAAGTTATAGATGAGAGGGGACACCCGGAGTCCAGGCCGGAGAGCTGTCCTGTTGAGAAGCTCTACATTTATAGGTCCGTTGCGGGGCCAAGGTTTGACATGCCTGGCTTTGTTTGGACCATGGATGAAGATTCTGCAGTGAGGGTTACTTGACACTTGGGGGTTACTTGACACTTGCGCGGAGACACCCGCGGATTCAAACCCTTGATATGTCTTGCATGGGGGGCATAGCAGGTACATGCTTAATATATGGTACTCAATTGTTTCGCATTTAAATTCATCGGTAGCTTAATATAGATGCAGCTCTGATTGGAGTGGAAGCGGGGGTAGGGAGGTATACAGAGGCTCAAGAGCTCGATTGCCATTCATTTTACCATTGGCTGAGCTATGGGATACCAGTTAGACTAATAAAGAGATTTAAGCTCCTGTTGTTGTTGTTGTTGTTGTTGTTATATGTATTAAACAGAGTTGTTAATTTTATTCGGCATAGCCACCACCATGTATACTAGCTGCAGACTTTTGCATGTTTATGCATTTATGTGGCCCTCTTTTTTCAACAGGAATTAATTGCCATGTGGACCCATTTGTATCATTGTTAACCTTCGATCTCAGCAAATAAAGCTTCAAATTTTAATATTTATCACTTGTAAGCTATAGTCTTGAAGCATCCTATCATGTAGATTTAGTTGGTTTTGTGAAAGATGGATTAGGTTGTGGATTGGATTGTATTGGATTGGATTGCTGCTGAAATGTATGCAGGAAATGTTGTTGAAAGCTCTCTCTGAGTTTGAGGACCTCTTCATACGATCTTCTTGCAGTTGCAACTTTCCAGAAAGAGCCCGCCCATTGTTCTGCCAACAATTTTCTTACCTTACATGTTTTACACTACACTAAGATAATTATTGACATTTGAGTAATCATTGTTGTGAGATTTCCAAACAACCATACCATAGGGTAGGGTAGGTAAATAATATGAGAGAGAAATGACATTTCACTCAATAGGTTTTTACATCTTTACATCTCAGCAACCCAAGAGAGAAAATAATTGAAGGGTAGAAAAAAGAAAGGTAAAAAAGGCAGTTGGGTAGAAAAAGCAAGCTCCTTTGGTAAATGTATGTATGCTGAGTTGGCAAGCTTTTAATGTTATTGGGTAGGGAGAGAGAGAGAAGAGAAGAGAGAGAGAGAGAGAGAGAGAGAGAGAGAGACCTCGACTTTTGAGCCACGTGATAGATTCGGTGACATTGGAGGGTGTCCACAACTTTTTGCTTCATTCACGCTCTCTTTTCTAGTCCACACCACCACCTGATGACCCAGCAAGAGCAAGCAACCCAAGAACACTCCTTATTTAAGAAGCCCTTTGAATATCAGATGGATTTCCACAGTAATTAATTAAATTAAAGAAAATATATATATATATATATAGA